CCATTTAAAATTAGGCGGCTTTGCCGCGGATAAAAATAAATAAACATCAGTTTGGAAAATAAACCGAACAGTTGCACGCCGATATCTGTCTTGACTGATATTTGCTGACGCTGGCACTGCTAGACACACTCCATCAATGTTAAATACGGTTTGCTCCCTCATATCACCCTATCTCACTTACTCTTCAGCTTACTGGTCACCATTTTCCTGTAGTGTTTAGTTCTGGTTCCCACACAATATTCACCACGTTCGTACTAATCCCATGTAACACTTGCCTTCGAATTCCTTGACTGTTTTCGCCAGCACTTTAGAATTTTTGAATTTCCACAATTACAATTACACAAAAATGCAATTTGAATTTCGTTCAATCGAGCAAAATTGTAAGTATTATTTAGAGAGCATAGTACAGTCCATACGCCATGTATTAGTTGCCGCATGTCTCTATCATTAACAGCAAAGAGGAGCGCGTATATGCTGACCAGGACCCAGATGTTACCTTGCACTCCATTTTTTTCGTGTACACTCGAAAATGGTGTTCTTTCAAATGCCATGGCTGCATGAGTAATTTTTCGAATCAATAATGCTCGAGAAGGGCAAATAAATCTTTGTAAATGAAACTGGTTTTAATTCTTTTTCGGCAAAAGCTTTTACCTACTGACCATAAAACATTATAATCTCTAAAACATAAAATGTGCCCAATGATCTTTTCAAACTATAGAAGTTTAGCTTTCTAAAACGTTTTTTGCAATAGCTTATTAATCATTGCGAATGCTTCTTTACCATCTATCGCAATGCCCTGCCTGAATTTCATCCTGAGTGTAGTCCTCCTGAAGCGCAAAGTACCATACTAACAACAAGATTCTCTGAATGTAACTGGGTGATAACTTCGTTCAACCCACCAAACAGATTATACCAATATACGAATGCATTGATATAGTCGATAAACTGGGTTCTTTTTTCTGTTGTGCACCACACAATTTGAAATTTGAGTATTATTTTCACAAGATCTGGACCACTCAGTGACCAGAAAAGCCGAATAAATGGGGGGTCACGACCACCATCGCGAGGGTCACAAGAGCTCGCGATCGGGTTCATGGGAAGGCTTTGACAAGATGAAGCAAGCACTAGATGGTCTGGCTACAGCAAAGGGCGTATCACAAAGCCGCATTGGTGCCGTAGCCAAGTTGGCAGCACATTACTCGAAGGTGCGGTGGATGAACATGTAGATTTTGACTTTAACGTGATCTAATTCAAATATTGCATTTGTGTGTTTGAAATATTGTATTCGTAGTTTTACAAGCACGTAGTGCATGACATTGAAATGTTTTTGTGGAAGGCAGAAGTTGAGCACCGATTGGCTGGTAAGATTTGAGTATTAATTGTACGAAGTCTTGGTTTTATTGATTGTAATGATCAATATTAGGGCTTTATGCTATTGACGCCATTATCAGACATGTAATGCGAATTATTATCGAATTATTACTTGTCCTTACTGATTGTGTATGCTTTTCATAGTCTCATGCGAATAACGACCCGAAGGAGTCATATGTAAAGCGATTTTTTGTTCGTATGTCCGACACGATTGCCGCAGTAAAAAAAGTGCCAGAACAATTGCAGGTTTGAGATATAAGTGTGATTGTAAGACTTCAACCAGCTCAAGTTGAATGTTTCTATGATCTTTACAGCCCAAAGTTCGGCATGTGATTGATGAATGGCAGAAGCGTGGAATTTATACATCCAAGCAGATTGAAGATGTTGGTGGACGTGAATATCTTTCCCAAGGACAGGTATAAGCAATTTTTGAGCCAGTTTTTTAAAAAAAGAAGCTAACCACTTGCAATTCCTTTGCAGTCAGAAAATCTTACGCCTCGTACATCTCCGGGAAAGTTAGCGTCATTACTATCAATTATCAAGCAGAAAAGAGAGGAGAACGAGCAGGCCAGTGAGCAACATGGGCAACCACGGATCAACAACTCTCATCATAACGGACGACTGCAAAAAGATAACATTGAAGGATTGAGCCATCAAAGTTATAGTGAGCGACAACTCGATGACAAACGAAGTGTCGGAATTATGGGTGATGCACCTAATCTTTATATCGGAAGCAATCACATGCAGAGGAATATAAACGAACGTCCTGATGATTGTAACGATCGTGATTTAAAAAAGGCTCGTGGATCCCGATGGGGTCCGCCTAAAATGGACAAAGTTCCTTCAAACGATAGACCAACTCCAGTAATTACGTCTTCTGAACGGGACGGAAATTATCGTTTTGATAATAGCTCTGTTCAGGGCTTAACATCAGGATCATCTTATCAGCCTTCTTTGTTACAAACTCCCCATGGAGGCCCACCAAGACATGAAGATTGGAACAGAAATACACCTTCTCTTAGCACTGGCACAGAGTGGCCGCGTGATAACATGCTCTCTCCGCAACAAGGAGGCCTTATTAGACAGAATGCAAACCCATTCCAGCAGGGCGGAATGCAACCGATGCCATTTACTGGCTCCGACGATCGACGAAGTCCTGGCCACCGCGTGCCTGGAACTTCTGGGGAGGTTTGTCGCAATTATTTAGCAGGAAGATGCTCTTTTGGTGATCGTTGCTGGTACGGCGTGGTAGTTGACACATGTTGATATAATTTAAAAGGTACTAATCAATCTATCATCCTCTTGATCTCGTCAGGCACATTCATGACCCTCAGGCCGCTCCGTCCGTTGCAAGTCGTTCAGAATTTGCTGAAAGTAAGCACAAAACTGTGCTATGTAACAATTTCCCGCTGGGAACGTGTCGTTTTGGAGATAAATGCAGGTACAATTCAATCCTTAGCATCGCTGGGAGATTATTGTTTGACAATTTCGTACTTTCATTTTCCTTTTTTTTACTCGTTCAAAATGATTTGTTATCTGATGATGGAACCCATGTGTTTTGCCGTCCCTACTAGCTTTGCTCATGGAGAAGAAGAGTTAGAAAAGTCGAAGCGATACCCGTTAAGACCCACTGCTCAAAATGATGCACTAAATGGAGGCCGCTGGCAACCGTCGCCCGGTTTGCGACAAGGCATGGAGCCGACAAATGTTTACGTTAATGTACTCGCTCCTTCCTCTCAAGCTAGATCTTACGGAAATCCGCAAGTATATAATGAACAACACGGTGACCGAGGCATTAAAGGAGACGATTCTTCTGTATCTTATGCTAAAAATGCCACCTCGCCTTCGTTGAGTGTACACCGATTGCCGCCACAAGTCCATTCAGCAGCACCTCCACCGGTCTATCAGGGGTCATACCCTTCGGTTCCATATGGTGCTGCTATTGGTAGCATGACTTTTGCGAATCAAGGTCCATCTTACTCCAACGGAGACCAAGATCGGACCCATGTCTCATCTAATGTCCCCGTCTTACCATCTCCTGCATCTAATAGTCAATCTTATGGAGACCAGCCAACCCCTAGCACCAAAGTCCTAGCTGATGATGACGAAGTCGAAACGGCTGAGCCTGAATTTACTCTCGAGTACGATGACGACGACTAATTGGAGATTAAATCACGAAATGGATTTTTGTCAATAACTTTGAGGCTAAATTGAGCTATTTCGACTATTAATTCCAGTCGTATGTTTAGAAGAATACTTCTTAAGTCTTTATGTTGCTTCACCTGCGTAATTAACTGAGTGGCTCTTATAGCTTACACGAAGAATTAGACACAAGCATATTGCAATGATGCTGCAGAACTGCTGTTTACGTGCCTTCACAACCGCGCGCGGACAAAATCCCTAAGCAGATTAAACAGGAACACTCTAAACTTAAACTGCATCGTATGAAAATTTGTTTGAGCTATTGATGACTTTTTCTTCATTCTTCGCTGAAAGTGTTGCACGAGATCATCGATTTTACTCGCCGATGGCAAGCCCACAGGAATCATACGCCCGAGGATCACGTTTCCGCATTCAGCGAGGCGAGAATACGTTTGTTACACAAAAGACGTTTTACCCACAGCATGGTGAAGACAAGTTTCATAAAGATGCATGTGATCACACGACCTAATATTGCGATATGAAACGTCGACAAGTGGTGAAGTGCGAAATTTCGACCTTACGCATGTACACACTTTGTTTGAAAGTACAGTTATTGTCGATCAAGAAGAAAAGAATAACCTAAAGTCGAAACAGCGCGAGGCATAAGAATTATCGATTACGGATAGGGCTCTCAAGTGAAGGCAATCCAACAGAAGACGGCTTTTTATGTAAGCCAATCATCCCATTGACCGCCACGCTAAGGAATCCGAAGCCTTTGATGTGGTTGAGAAGCTACAGGCTGCAAAAAACTAGTTATCAAGTACTTCAGGTTGAAAACAGCTAAGTGTATACTCTATTTTCCTGACTGCTTAAAGATCAGTGCAACTGAGTCTATTACGCGACGTGTTTGATATGGAATGCCAGGGACAGTGGAGATTTACTACGGTAGAGATCAAGACATTTAGTTGTGTCTGAAAATTCTGCCCCATAATAAAATTTGGCAAATTGTCTTTCTTGAGGACAACACGCTGGCCCAAGCAATGACTTCTCAGACTCACTTCATTGGTCGAGAGCACAAGGCTTTCTCATTTTGATGGAAGAAATTTTCGGATACATGCCTTTGTGGGTCGTTAAATCATTTCGTGAATCGTGCGCGTGGTGTGTGCTTTGGATCGCGAGTGTTGTACCTTTTTGTGTCGCTTTGTGCCTTCATGTTGAATACTCGCCGCTAACGCATACCGAGATAGTATAATCAGCACGTACTTCGGTGTTATCATCGCCGACAAAGATTGCGGTGAGCTCTCTCACTCCAAGTGGCTTGTTCTGGCCTACAAGTCCATCATTATACTTTTCACCTCGTAAAGTACCTTCTTAACGAAAAGGCTTAGCGATTGATGAAGATTCTGATCGAGATGAAGACAGATATATCTATGTGATGCAAAATGCGCAAGTGTGGCTTGAGTACATAATGGGCTACATACACATACTATGTGATTAAAGGCGAAGATATAACGCTTATCCAAGATATGTCTGAGTCGGACCTTTTGTTTATGGATAATATTATCAAGAATTAAGATCGGAGTCACAGCGCCTACAAAAATGGAAAAATATCGCACGTTACTGCGCTCCAGTCTCTCAAACTTAATGCTATTAAGTGCTTTTTTACAACACGCCCCCTTCACTAGAGTGATCTTTTCTTTGAAAAGTTGTTTGTACGACTCCAACGCCTTTTTGATTTTCCTCTCTTCGATGAATCACATCCAACGATTCCGATGTTGTGACTCAATCTACGTTAGTTTTAAACTTTAAGCTCAATTACAACCATGTTGAGCTCAGGTCACTTGCATACATGTAAAATTTTGGGACGTTAGATCACTGGATCAAACAGCGCCAGAAATCGGTGCCACAAAATACAGATGATGCTAACTTGATGTGGAAGTTGTGAAGTGTTAGCTTGGAATTAAATTTTGTGCTTGAAATTGCCAAATCGGACGCAGTCTCAGCATCGATACAAACGTCATTCTGTTATCGGGAGAGATACGAAGCGCTGCCGGTAATTTGTGAGTATAACTGGCTTTTTGATGACAGCGTGGTGCGCATAACGACGACGCCTTCCGACGACACAAAAAGGTGGAGTAAAGCTCTCTGAATAATATGTAAATGAAAACCAAATAAGTGTCATGCAAGAAATGAACGGCTTCATGCTTTGCCCTTTCGTATTGAGTTGTGTGAGGTTTAAATTTGAATTACAGTTTTAAGCAATGCTTTCTCTGAAGTGCCGATAAAGTCAACCGGGCTTCATCAATTTCAAAAGGTGCATATATTTAGAACTAAGCTATTCAAACCTTATTCGATACATGTATTTCCGTAAACGACTATGTACAAGGCTAGAATCGCCTCATACGAGGCTTGCATGTCTGAGACACCGTTACGCCCTATAGAAAATCTTTGAACATTCTCCACTCAATCAGCTCTGAATCTATGACATAAAAACACCCAGCATAGCTGGCTAAAAGGGCGCCCGAGCAAAGCCCTTCTTCTTCTTCTTCACGGGGTGCATCTCAGGACAGTACGTCCGCGGCTTCACGGGTAGCACATCCCAAGTGTGACGGGTCACACGGCACCTTGCACAGAGGAAGCTTGACCTCCAAGAGTAT